AGGAAACCACCAGTTGGGATGGTTTTTTGTTGGGGTCCTTCCATGTCTCATTCCCTGAGCACCAAGAAAACTTGCTGATGGAATGAACCCAGTCCCTGAAACTGAGTGGGGATCTTTTCAGAATGGTGGGGAAACCACTTGCTTGTCGTGCAGTATCCCCAACCACCGGGCTGTCGAGCAATGCAATGGGGAAATCACCAGTTGGATGGTTTTTGTTGGGGGTCATTCCATTTCTCATTAAAGTCAATCAGCTTTTGCAGGTTTATTGGAAAAGCCAAATTTGCCCCCAACAGGGCCTTTTGACGCTGCGGTCACACGAAGAAGACCAGGCATGAAACTCTTGGTTCCCCTAACAGTTTCTAAACCCAACATGGGCCAAGCCTCATGGAAGGTTCGAAATGAGATCTCGTCCCGGACTTAGGACTGCTAAAACTCACCCAGGTACTAGCACCGACAAGTCGCTTCTGCAAATGGACATAGAATTTAGAAAGGAAATCAGGCAAATGTCCTACCCCTGTCGTGTGATCGACTGTCTCCTGAGAGTCATAATCAAAACCTAGTACTGGAAGGTCTGCCAATGCCAAGAACAAAAAAAGCAGCCACCATTTTTGGCCTAGGCCCTGCAAACTTCAACTGCCGACCAGAATTCGAGAAGTAGTGTTGCTTCTCAAAGCAGGGTGCTTCTGGCTTCCTTTAAAAAGCACCCAATAAGAGATCCACCATTTTGAGAAGCCCCCACATGGTGGGCACTGCAGGCAGCCGCGTCGAGTCGGCCGCTCAAAGCTGGGGATGGGGTGGCCGCAAAGACCAAAGTGTGCGCTTGTTTGTCGGATATGACCCAACATGGAAATGGGTTTGTCCAAGTCCAGGCACATAGCATGCCAAATATATCCATAGCACCTCAGAATGATTCCAAGCCCATTGGATGGGTGTGACATTTCTCTGCTCTGGGCCGGCCATTTGATACACTCAGTTGTTCAGTGACATTGGAAAAAAAGGGAACCCTTTTTTGGGAAGACCATTTTAGTGGGGCAGTCACCAAAAAAAGAAGGGAAAAAGAATTGGAGCCGCTGAACAACTGAGTTACAAGATGGCGGCATCCTCCCAATCTGTTGCTTGACGCCGGCCATTGGCGCCTCCATCATTTTTCTGGACCTCTCCTGGCCCAGGTGTTTTTTGTTTTTCTTTTCTTTTTTCCGGGCACTCGATGAGAACCCAACTGCCAGCGCCATGTGGGCGTGTCAAGATACCCCCGGGTTCGAAGGACACGTTAAGGGGAAGCACACCCACAACTGTGGGGTTCCCAAAGCAGAGTCCATCTATGGGTAAACCACGCTGACCCCTTTGTGGGGTTCCCAAAGGAGACAAAGTCTGTCTTTTTGAGTTCTACCAAGCTGACCTTCGACTCCGCGTTTGCCGAAACGCGCCAAATCCGTCTATGGAAATCAACCAAGCTGACCTTCGACACCGCGGTCCGCGCCTGGCGTGAAGCTGCAGGTGATGATGATCGTCTGATCAGCCAGCCAAGTCTTGTTGTCCGCCAGCATCCGCGCGTGGAACGTCACGTCCTGCCATTTCCCCACCGAGCGGCGTGGCCGGGAGCGAGGGTGCGACCGCAGGGTCTGACAGTGGTCGCCATCACCATGACTTCCATTTGGTTAAGACCGCTGGAAAACATGAAAATATGTCCAGTAGTGATAAATTCCTTTTAACACCAGCAAGGGAGAATAAAACATATTCTTGAGCAAATGGAAGATGACGATGTTCCTGAAGCGAGCCTAAAATGTCCAGGGTTCCGATTCTGGATCTCAAGGTCGACTTGAGCCTAGCCGAGAATTGGGCACATGATTTGAATTTGGCTCGGGGGCATCAAACATGGAACCCATTTTATCAAACTGAGGTTGCCCAACTGAAGCAGAATGAACACACAACCTGGGGGCAAAGGGTCTGCAAAAGATGAACAAATACCAATCTCCTGTTGGTTCCCTTGGGACAAATGAAAAGCTATGGGCCATTCAGCACCCAGTACAGTTTTCAACCACCAAGAGCGCCCGGATTTCCCGCATGGCGATATTCACAACCATCTTCTCTACACACCGGCAAGATCCGGCAAGTAGGCCAAAAGAACACCAGCCAAAGGCCTGTTTCTATGTGACTCGAAGGCAGTTCCCATCTCTTTGGCCTGGGGCTCACTTCAGAGATTCGCAGTCCCTTAGGCGATCTTTCTTGCTTCAAAAGTTGGGCCGGGGGCACAAGGCACCAGCGTCCCAAAACCACCCCCCAAATGAATGTTTAAGGGAGTGCAGCTTCTGCCCCCCTACCCCCCCTTCCCCCCGCTCCCCCCCTACCCTTTGCCGTGTGCCGCTCAAAAAACACCTCCGCGCCTGCGGGCTCAGGTGCGGCTGCTCTTGCGGCTGCCTCAGGGGAACAGCCCCGGTGGGAATGACCCCATTTAAACCAACAACCCAAGAAACCACGAGTTGGGATGGTTTGTAGGGGTCATTCCATTTCTCATTCCCTGAGCACCAGCAAGCAAAGGAAACCAAAGGGTTGGAGTGTCCGAACGGGGCCTGTGCTTTACAGCTGGCGGTATCTGCAACTGGTAGCCAGCTCCTTTGGCAAAGGATTGTGAAGAAACCAAAAGGCATGGCATCATGGCACACAAAAGTGTTGTTCCCCTACTGTACTCAGTGTGTTTCTTTCTTCGAATGGCGGCATGAGAAAAACTCCAGGCGTGGCGAAGAAATATAGATATGTCACAAACCGGGCCTTTGCTGTCTTGTGCTGACAAAGGGAGAAGCATTTGTGCGCTCCAGGTTCCAAATATCCTTCCAAATAAACCTAAACCGGCACTGCGCGTTTGCGTGCTGCTGGTTTGGTTTCGACCAGTTCGGCGCTAAGGCCAAGCCCTGATGCCCTGCTGTGGTCCGGAGAACATGAGAAGCGATGTGTTCGAATGCCCTGTCTTTAACGCACCAGCATCTATCAGCAAAGTGAAAGGAGGCTCCATGGAGGAACAGTGCAAAACTGTTCAACCTTGTCATAGTGGTGTGATTGTGGTGCAATTCTGGTGCGATAAGGGTGCGCTTGTGATATCAAGCGGTGTCATAGCGCATGGTCATATGGTGTCAGGAGTCGAGTGATGGTGGTCTGGTGATGCAAACTGATTACACAGCAGAAAACATTTTTTGATGACTGTGGTATCATTGCGGTTCCACGGTGGGGGCATGATTGCACAATGGTATGTAGGTGTCATACAAGGGTCAGGGTGAGAGTGGCTGCAGAGCAAGTTAGGAACATATATGCAGAAACATGAACCACGTGTAGGATCCTCGTCATGACAAGTACCCATAAGACAAGGCCAAAAGCAGCTTTCACCAGAGTCTATCTGAAACCATGTCTCAATAGGATCTACAAAGACAGCCTGTGCTTTTTGCTCATCTGTGGCTCTGTGGAAATAGTGTGTTTCTCCTGGATGCTCATTGGGAAGCGGAAAAGACTTCATTAAGGGTCGAGATTTAATTTGGGATGTTTTTTTTGGATTTATTTTGCTTTCCATCCTGGCCACTAAAATGCTGTGATTTACAACATGTTCTCGCGACATGTACGTATTTTACGCTAGTCCATCAACATCATCAGCATCGTTTTCAACATCCCCCGCATGTCCAGCCAACATCCCCAGCATCACCAGCAACTTCCCTTCATTAATCTTCTGGGTCATGAACGCGGCGCGGGGACAATCGAACCACATGGCGAAGCTAAAAGGGAACCCTGCAATGTTGGCTGGTTCCCATAGAGTATGCGCATATCGGCTGATGGAATTATATATCAATACTAAATTATCAGTACTGGCATAGGTGACCTGTTGAAAACAAGATGGTTTTCAATAGAAAATTGGGAATAAAAGCTATGTAAACCAGCAGACCCAGTCTATGTCTTGCCAAACTAACCAAAAAAGACTCGTATGAGTAGTATGATGTGTCTCAAACTAGGGAGACCAGTGGTAAAGAAACACGGCTTCTTGTGCTGTATGGTAAAGGGAAACCAAAATTGCTGTTTTGTTTTCGTTTTGCTTTTGTTTCTGCTTGTTTTTTGGGGGGGGATTCCAGCCCTATTTGGAGACAAACCCTCCCACCGCCCCCGGGTGTTTCGCGAGCCGCGGGGGTTTGGGGGTTTGGCCGAGCTGCGTGTGGATCCACCCTAGCGGCTCCAGGTCCCTCAGGTGGTCGTGGTCCGGCAACTGCTGCGGCAGCGTCACGTTGCCTCAGCGTCCGACGGAAGCGACGTCCTCCGACGAACGCCAGGGATCGAAGGGCGGGCCCGGCGCCCAGTTCGGTTTGGTCACTTCAAGCATTTGATACACTTTGAGGGGTTCTGGAGGCCCTGAGGAATTGGTGGCCCAACTGTCCTTCCACCTGTTGGTTCTTGTAATCTTTTAGTACTCTGTTCATAGCCTACAGGAGTGGCTCCACAGATTCGCCACATCATAACAGCTCCTTAGCTCTGAGCCTCAAAACCACCTCGTTACAACTTGTCCAAAAGGTTTATGTTTAAAAAGCTTTACTATACAAATATATCACCAGTATGACATCAGGTAGTAGAACCACCTTCTAACATGGCCTGTTTTTGGAGAGGTGGCTGGGTTCGGCGCTTCTCAAATGAAGATCATGTCTTCCGTTTGAATTTGGAAACGTGGACCGCGACTTTTCCGCTTCACAGGTGTGCAGCAAGCCAATTTGCCCAAGGCCTGCAGTGGTTCTCCCTGCTCCCTGACAAAAACCTTCCGAGTCCAAAGCCTTAAGGTTTGCACCAAATACAGTATCCCTGGAGTTTTCTTTTCGACGCCGAATCACTCACTCAGACTCTGTCCGTTTTCTGAAGCTTGCCATCATTCTTCCGCATTTCGGGCAAAAAATAATGGCAACACCGACCCAGGGCTCCGAGTGGTTTGCCCAGGTCCGTTTCAAAGGTGCCCACCTGCGAGGCCCCAATCGCGCCAGGGCACTGTGTGTGCCGACCTGGGGCACCATCACCATGCACCTCGATCCACATCCGCCCCATTCTTCGGGGTCTGCTTTTAGGCCCCCATTTAGGAGACCCCACCCCCCAACCCCCAGAATGGTGGTTCTCCTTTCGGCGTTCCTCCTCTTGCGGGCACCCTGAACAACGAAAACCAAGGGACGCTCAAACGGGAGCTTCGACTTTTTGGAGGGCGAGGGGGTGCCGCTCGGCACCAAATGTTGACCCAACTTTCCGAAATTTTTGCCGTGACCTGAGGAGTTTTTTCCCGGGAGGCCTGGAAGCAGGGCATGCCACACATGGCATCCAGTTGGGGTCTTGGACCCCACCAGTTGGGCTATGGTCCTCCAGTAGAGAGGTTAGGGTTTAGGGTACCAACTTCTTTCGTCTATTTTGGTAGGGGTCCCCCAAAAAAGGCTAAAAGGGCACTACTGGGGGACCCAGTATGCTTGTGGGAGGCACGAATCTGCTTCAATTGGCTATCTCCAACGGAGACCCGCCCCTTCGCTTTTCCGGGGCGCCGAATCTCCTTCACCTGCGGGTTATCCGGCGGCGAGATGCCGTAGAGATACGCGGCGACCTGCGTCCGCAGGTCCTCAGACGAGAAAGCTGAGGGACTCACTCGGATTCTTTTGGTGAATCATACCGTGGATGGTTGCGAAATCTCTTCGCACAACATAAGAAACCATCGGGAACCTCGGGAACATCGGGAAACCATAACGTTTGCTACGGTATTTACAGGGGAATCGAATCACTACAGGGCTTCTGAACGATGGCGCAGGATTTCGTACATCCACTTTACTTGAGTGCGAGTTTTAATCAGGGATCTTTTGGTGAACCTCACTCAAAAGATGAAATGTCAGTCCACCGACCTCATTTAAGGTGGTCCCCGTTAAGACTCATAGCCAATTCACCAACCAAACTGCAGGAACCTTAGCTTGGGCACAAAGACTTTTGCACAAGCCAGCCATGTCTCAACATGGTTTTGTGATTAGAGACCTAAAATCAGGGACTCCCTGGTCGTCACAAAATTATTGTCCTGTAAGTCGTCCAATAATGATGAACCGAACACCCTTTCGTAGTGATGCTTAATATGGCCGAATGCGGGCGTGCAGCAAACAAAGTAGTTTTGTGTGTGTGGCCCAACAAATGCTGCGCAAACCACAGCGCGCAACAAGCAAAGCTTCTGCAATGAATGACCAGCCTTTTGACAGAACCCTACACCAATAAACAATCAATCAAACCAACAACCAAACAACCAACCCACCAACCAACCAAACAAACAATCAAACAGGCCAACAACAGCGAGCGCACACACACACACAAGGACAGCATGGGTAGCTCGGCCAGTTCTTCCAAGAATGGCGCCCTTTGGCTACATGCCAAAATGTCATAACGTCGGCAAACTTATTTAGAAATTTAGACGAGCGCGGTGGATATCAACCCAAGATATGGTTGTAACGCTTCGGCATGCAGGCGGACTTTGTTTTATCAGTTGTTACTCTTTGTCTTGCGCAAACAACACAGCAAAAGCGAAGGCAATCGGATTGCGATGCGACGAGCACAAGCAGTAGGTCCAAGCTGCACTGATGCAAATGAAGGTCTTCAGGATGTTCTTGGGCATGACGTACGTGTAACCTGTCTCCCGGATGTCCTCGCTGTTGACATACCTCGGCGCTTCAGAAGAATCAACATGCCATGTCGAAATGTCTCAATGCAAAACGAAAAACAGAATAGGGTTGGCAACATGTTGGCTCAACATTGCCCGTGGTTTCTATCTCGTTCTACAACCCAGTGATGTAAGCCCAACTCCGATCACTGCTGGCCAGTTCACCCAACATGGTCTTTTTGGGGGGGGGTCGGTCTTTTAGGGGATGATCAGATTCGGCTTAAAGGCGAGTCCTGGGCCGGGGGCAAGTAATCCCTCAGGCAATCCCTAAGGAGAACATACCCGCTGTGGTAGCATTCTCAGTGGCCGCCCTGGGTCTGACACTATGGCGCAAGAGCAACGCAGCAAGGCTTTCCTGCCTATGCTTGAGTCTGAGTCAAAGAAGGGCCTTGAGCCTCAATGTAACAGTGAGAATGTATGACTGCAACAAGGTCAATTGGTTCAAAACAGAACACAAAACAGACACAAACTTCGTTTGACCTTCAGCGTCGAATTACTGTCTCAAGGTTCTATGCCGTAGCCATAAAATGGTGCGCCGTAGCCATGGAAAAGCAAAAAGATCGATTGCAAGCGTAACCAAAAGGTCACTCTCGTTTGTGACTCGGACATGTTGGGTTTGCCTGTGTATTTACAGGCACTTGCAAACTGACGGCAACTGTGCTCCAATTCGCACACGAATGGCATCCTGGCTTGCAGCCTGAACAGCCAGAGCGGTGAGATCCACGCTGACGTTCTGTTTCATCAAGCTTTTGGACCTTGCCCTATTCACGACTGCCTTGTGGCTACACCTTCCCAGTCTCTTTCCTGACGGC